GTACCATTTTAAACAATGTAACTATTATCTCATATGCGTGTGTTGTGTGTTAAATCACTTCAGTTGTGCCCACTCTTTGCGACCCTATGGACTGCAGACTGCCCATGGGACCCTCTGTCCATGGGATTCTCCAGTCAAGAATACTGGAGTGAGTTGTCATTCCCTTCACCAGGGGAGGTTCCCGACCCAGGCGTCTCTTACATCTCCTGCATCAGCAGGCAGGTTCTTTACCACTAGTGCCACATCTCATAGGCATTTTAATTTTTATAAACCACTTTTTATCCACAAGCTAATTATTAATAAAAAAATTACTTAATCTCCTTGGCAACTTTCTAAACTTGATGTTTCCTATTTTTTCTTTCTTCAAGTATTAACTTATTATAAATTCTAAGTTTATAATGATAGCTATCTTCTAAGTTTACTTTAACATTGCACAGTGAATTCTTCTATTTTCCACAGAACATCTTAAGTAAGTAATCCAGGGGTTGTAGAGTCTGACTGTATCTTTCTACATAGCCTACTTCACTTTTGTCATCTCTTGGCACAGTATGCTTTAAAAAGCACAATAACATTAAGTAGTGAATATAGTATTTTATTGTCCTACTACAGAAGCTTAAGAATGGCTAATTTAGATCCCAAAGTTATTTAAAACTTTGTTTGGCAGGAACTATTTTAGCAAAATTTTGATATTACTGAAAGTTTATTCAGGTACTTATAAAGACTTTAAAATGTGCTATAATTTAATGCTTTAGATTTTCTAATCACATACAATTCAACTAAAAATGGTCAAACAATTTAACCTATATATAGTTAAGTTGATAAAATGCCTGCCTATAAAATAAAAATGTCACACTAATAGAGAATAGCAACTATATAAAAATGAATACAAAAGAGTTTCTATCATGGGGAATCTAAAGCTCTATAGTAAAGATTATCTATACAAATTAACAGTTAAGTTTTAGTTGGCATTTAAGGGAGAAATCAAGGCTATAAAGATTTAGAAGGAAACAGAGGATACAACGTATGATACGTATCAAGAAAAGGGTTCTGAGAATCTGTGCTTGTCAGAGACCATTCTATATATCTCCAAGTGTCTGGGAGAAAGATAGTACTTTGATTATCTTGGGCTACACCACCAAAGCCTAGTGTTTTTTTTAAATTTCTCTGAATTATCAACAAAGTATGAAAGCCAATTACATAAAGCAGTGCTTTCCAACTTTTTCCTCAGGCCTACTCAGAAAAATAACGATTATATAATTGGGAAAGAAGAGGAGCCTCGCGGTTAAGAGGTTACCAGCCTGGGCAGCTCCTGCCACTTATATCTACCTATTCATGGCATACAGCTTGGGAAGCTCTAAAGTAGATCAGCAGAAGGTCAACTTGAAAATAAACTCACAAAAACAAGCAAGTTATAGGCAAGCATCATAGGAAATAATTTCAGTTCACTCTGAATAGATGAATGAATTAGTACCAAGCCAACTATACAAAATGTCACCTTTCTGAAAAAATCCTCATCAGCCTTCTCTTGATTTGTGGTCCTTTTCTTATTAATAACAAACAAACAAAAAAGAGTGAAACATAACCCTCTGGGAAGCGTAACAGGACACTTTTAGAACAAGTAGTGTAAACCTAAGACTGGAAAAACCTTCTACCAAATGCCTCTTTCACTCTTCAGAAAAGTCATCTTTCACCTTCACCACTGTTACCAGTGTTTTGACTATTATAAGCCCTCTTTAAAATATCTAGTGTTTATTAGCTATGCCAGTGGCTATAGGCACCTCATTAATAATTATCTATTCTTTCTTAAAGGGCCTAAGTTTTTTCCTGAGGTATGAGGGGCAGGTATCTCACTTTATTTCTAGAATTCATCCAAGGTAGAGGATTCTAAGATGTCACCAACAGACAAAATGAACAGAGTTTTTTTAGCAGTATCTTTTAAATGATTATTACATAGGAACAGTATTAAAATGCAGTTTATCATCAAGAAGGATTTTAAAGAAAACTATCATTAACTTGGGAAGAACTTTGCAAACTTATGGATTCAACCATCACAGTGAACATCTTTTTTATAGTACTAGAACCCAGAAAAATGGATTAAAATAAAACCAATCAGTAAAAATATCTATAGAAATGGACATTAATGACCCCAAAATGCAGTGAAAACCAATTCATACTTCAATTCTATAACTGCTTCAGAAGTATCTTAGAAGTGTATTATGCAGCAGAGGAGGCCAATTAATCTGCTTATTTCAATGTCACTGTCCCATTTGCCTTGAGACGTCACAAAACTGCTATTTTCAATTTAGAGCCATGTATTATTGCTCTGCCTTTGATCATACGATTTGAACATACAATTCAAATGCTTTATTATAGCTATTCCCTACAGAAATAAGGCAATCCTACACAGAGATATATTTATTGTTCCTATTTCACAAATAGTAAGCTTTCTCAAGGAGAAACGACTAACTGAAACAACAGTTCTGATTCCTAGGTCAGTGTTTCCATCAAAAGGACATATTTTCTTGTTAGTTAATTATTTTACACCTTAGGATTACGTTAAAGGCACTTTTTTATGTTTCATCACAGGAAGTAAGTTTGGATTATGTCTGAATCCCAGGCTGATTCTCACTAAGCTTTATGTCAAAAATCATACTCTGAGCAACCACCTGAAACATCAATCTGAGCTTATTCTCTGACTAGCCTTCACTCCTAGTGATGCAAATTTGGTTCCTTATTTAATTATCTTCAAGTAAACTGTCCACATTCATTAATATGGCCAATACAGTAGTCCCTTGGTATCCATAGGGGACTGGATTCAGTATCTGCCTTGTCTGTTTGGCCCCTGATGATACCAAAATCTGTAGATGCTGAAGTTCTTTCATATAATGGCACTGAATTTGCATATATCCATATGCATCCCCCTCCCATATATTTTAAATGATTCTCCAAATTATTGATAATACCAAATACAAAGTAAATGCTATGTAAATAGTTGGCAGCACAAGGCAAATTCAGGTTTCACTTTTTGGAATCTTATGTAATTTTTTTTCCAAATATTTTCTACCTGTGGTTGTTTGAATCCACAGATGTGAAACCTATGGATATGTAGGGCTGACTGGGTTCTGTTTCATTTTGATTTTTTTCTTTCTCTATTTCATATCTATTCCATGTTCTTATGCTTTCTCAGCAAGATGTTTTTCTCCAATTCTTTCTCCACCTTTGATATCTTTCTTCTCTTTTTCCATCTTTACTATTGAGAAATGCCTTTGTGTGCTGTGTGCTAAGTCACTTTAGTCATGTCTGACTCTTCGCTACTCTATGAACTGTAGCCCATCAGACTCCTCTCTCCATGGGGTTCTCCAGACAAGAATACTGGAGTGGGTTGTCATGCCTTCGTCCAGAGGATCTTTCTGACCCAGGGATCGAACCCACATCTCTTATGTCTCCTGCACTGGCAAGTGGACTATATAACCACTTAGACTGTGACTGTTTTACTCAGTTTCTAAAATCTACAACTTCTTCTCCAACAACACTTCCCAGTCATCAACAGCTTGGACAAAAAGCATTACATGTTAAGTACAGGTCACCATGGGCTCTTTCTTAGAAGTCTACAGGCTATATTTTAAATAAGCATCAGTATATGCTGGCCACTGTGTTATCCAAGGTCAGAACCACATTTAAATATTTACACTTTTAGAGATGACATGTTAACTTTATCATATATACTTCTGACTTCAACTGGGGTTTTTTATAAGCCTAAAACCACATTCTGATTAACTGAGATATACTGTCAGAAGGGAATCCTAAATTTGTAAAAAATTAAGAGTTAAAAGTCTTTCAAGATGATTTAGGGAAGTCATTAAATCAGATTTAACTGAGACAGAAACTGGAGCACAGACAAGTTAGCTAACCTTTTAAATTACTGAAATAATTCAGGAATAAAAAATATGCAGAAACCAAGAATCAAAATTAGAAGTAGGTTTATTCAAAATATTTATTTATGAAAATTATTCAAAACTTAAAGCACATTTTCAATAGAAATAATATTATAGATGCTGAATGAGCTCACAAAATACTTAAAGGGAATTCTAGCTATTTTCGAGAGCCTTGGAAATTTTGAGCACTTTATTCTCATTTTCTAAGTTCTGCTTGATACAGGAACAACATTAACATATCTCAGCTTCTCAGATATGATTATTTTTTGGCTCATAAATGAAATAAAGGAGAAACAGTTTTCTACATTAATTAAAAGAGTAGATGCATAACATTACCAAAGGTTGGGTTCAAAATTTAAAACATATGAATGTAAGGAAGCACTTATCTGTGTGGATGTTAGTAGAGCTATAACCTAGGATGGCCACCTACTAGTCACATGATGAGCCTAGGTTGACAGGGGATGAAGGGAGCAAGAATCTGAGAACACAACAATCTAGAGTAGGGGCCAGATATCTACAGCTACTCAACTCTATCACTGCAGTGTGAAAGCAGCCACAGACAAAATGTAAACAAATGAGCTTGGCTATATTCCAATAAATTTTTATGGACACTGAAATTTGAATTTCATGTTCATAAAATCATTACTGATTTTTTTCAGTCATTTAAACATGCAAAATCCATTCTTAACTCACGGGCTGTACAGAAATACACGACAGGCCTGGATTTGGCCTGTGGACTACAGTGCCAATCTCCAATTTACGTAACAGTGGGGAAAAGGCGAGGAAGGTGCACCTGGTTTAAAAACTAGGGGGACTATTCATGAATGTTCTTGCATTAAACCTAATCAGAAAAGCAGCTCCCCTTTAACATGTGTACATTAATACTGGTCCCAGGCGCAAAGAAAACAGGCATTGCGCTGTCTTTAACTTTAAAAGAGGTACAGAAACAATCATCAATCCCGGACAAAAACAATTTCCATAAATAACAGTATACTAATCATAATTTTACATAGAGAGCTCATTCTGTATGACTTAAAATTATAGCAGAAGATGCATTATTCTTACCATTTTGTCCCTGAGTCGCTCTCCACGGATAAAAAAGTCAGCACAGCCATTCTCTTCCTGGTGAGGGACTTTGAAGACAGTGACGCAGCTCAGTCCACTCCCTCCGAGTGGTAGCCATCCACCGCTTGAGTCATCCCGGCTCATCACCACAGCTCGCACTCGGGCATAACTATTACTAGAACAGATGCAAAGATTAGAAATCAGCTTTTCCACAAACAGAAAACCAGCCAATATGTCAGTCTTCTTTGGGAAACCAAAGACCACATCGCTTAATGTGTGGTACCTAAGTGTTGACTACTTCCATGACAGACCAGAGAAAGCAACCTAATTGAAAAAGGTCAAAACCCAGAGTAACCAACTTAGAGGCTGACCAATCTCACAATAAAAGATGACAGATATCTTATTCCACCACTTGAGTAGTTCAAGCACATTTGACTGCCATGGAACAAGTAACCCAGGATCCTAAAGACAAACTACAGAGTCTCCCATCAGTTGTCTGTGTATGTCCATCTCCTAGCATCTCACCAGACAAAATACTGTTGTATTCTAGCACATTTAATTGTGATACCTCTATGCTTCTAACATTTCTGAAATATACTACAAAGAAAATGCTGAAACAAACATGCTTAGCTCAGATACATTTTCAAGTTTTTTATAACAATTAGAAATCTAAACCACACAAACATATATAAAGAAATGTTTTGTTTTAGTAACCTATCAGGCAAATTGGTCTTTTCATGCTCTCTTTTTGGCGAACTATTCTTGAGGTACACCACATTCCAGTTCCATTCAGAATTATTTCCCAATATTCCACAACTACTTTTTACAGAAAATCTAAGAAATGTTTCATATAGTAATGTTCTAGATAACTGACATCTAAGCATTTTAGTTGTAAAACTTCTAATATAATAATCATTATATTCTTTCCAAAACTCAAATATCTTGCCAATTTCTTAGAAAATTACACTGAGTTTCTTCGAAAATTACACTGAAGATTAAACAGGTCTTGGTTATTACAACTATCAACTGAGGCTCAACATAATAATTCTGTGCTACTTAGTATCTCTGAATGCTCTTTGCCAGTTGTCATTCTGTTGTCAGAGTGCCTGTCTAAGACCCACTCCTTGCTTTTTTTTCTACTTTATATATTGACATTTATTTGACTGAGGTGTATACTCTACATATAATCACATATATTGATATTAAATATAAAATTCCACAAATTCTGACAAACACACATATCTACACAACCAACATCAAGACACAGAACATTTTCATGACTCCAGAAAATTCCCTGAGGCCTCCTGCCCATCAAATAGGTAACCAAGGTAACCACTGCTATACATGGTTTCCAATATATACATTAGTTTTGCCTGCTCTGGGCCTTCTTATATATGGAATCAAACAGAATCACCACTTGTACCCTCCCTTTCTATCTGACTTCTTTCACTTACTGTGCTGTCATATTAGGGCTTCATTCTCTGTTAGCACTAAGTAGTCAGTCCTCTCACTGAATAAATAAATATGCATCACAATTCATGTATTCTTTCTTACGCTGATAGGCATTTGAAATGTTCCGAGGTGTTGGCTATTATGAATAAGGCTTTTATAAACATTCTTATATGTTTTTTTGTAGACATGCTTTCATTTCTCTTGAATAATTACCTAGGAATGGAACTGATGAGTCATAGGGGAGTATATTTAACTATATAAGAAACTGTTTTCCAAGGTGACTGGACCATTACATTCCTACCAACAATGTATGATAGTTTCAGTTACTCCACATCTGTGCCAACATTTGGTGTTTTCAACTTTTTAAACTGTACTCACTGTAGTAAGTATAAAGTGGTAACCCACTATGATTTTAATATCTATTTTCCATCATGAAAGCATGACGTCGTGCACTTTTTTCATATGCTGGCTGGCCATCTCTATGCCTTCAAGTCATTTGTTTTGTATTGTGTTGCCTTTTATTACTGATTTTTAGAAGTTCTTCATATTTCATAACACAAGTAGTTTTCTGTCAGAGAGTTGTATTCTTTTAAAGTTGCACAGTGTTGGGGGTATAGTAAGAAGTCTAAAGTCAAACTTTATTATAAAGTTAGATCCTAGCTCAGCATCTTACCTACATGTCCTTGAGAGAGTTACAACACCCACCTTCAATAAATTAAACAAAGCCTAACACCTAATAAACACTATGTATTATTGTGCGTAATCGCTCAGTTGTGTGTGACTCTGTGTATTGTTTTAAGTTAATTACTAGCACTACAACAAAGATTTTAAAATTGAAGTATTTGTCATACTGGTAATTCAAAGCCAGGTACGATCTGAGGGGAAAAAAAATTGCAAATTCAAACATAACTCTCTATTAATTAACTAGGGTCAAAATAATTCTTTGCAAAGAAGTTCTAAAATTCTTTAAATTTACAGATGACCATTCTAAACTTTTTATGATTCAGTTATTTACAGGCTCTGATTCCTATCTGGGCTCAACTGTTAACAATCAGAGAACTGGCCAGAGGAGGTATGGGTATATGAAGACCAGACTGAATTAGGTATCTAACTGTAATCCTCCTCATGGGCTGAGCTGGGACAAGTACCACCCCAAGAAGTTTGGTGGGATAAAAGTAATAGTAAATGAAGCCTATTTGGTTAACCAAGAATTTAACCTAAGGATATCCCAGAAACACAGCACATAAACTTCGACGTATTTGGTTCAAATTAAATATTTGTGAATTGAACTCATGCATTTAAAGTTCAGCACATTTGAGGTTCAGTGAAGTTACAAAGTCACAAGGTGGAACTTGGATCAAAACCAAAATTCAAGTTCCCAATAATCATTTAAGTGTTTATTTCACTAGAGGATCCTGACTCTTTCTTCTCAAATGATTATGTAGTAAACTGGAAACTTGAGAATTTTATACTAGATTCTGCAAGGCTGGAGAAACCTAAGGAGCAAAATAACCCAATTTAGAAGAGCAGAGAATATTTTATCTTCAGAGGGCCAGAAGCACTTATCCTCTTCAGAGCACAGACTCTTATTTTATCATCTGTGATTATTACTAATTCTCATTTACAATCTCTATAATGCTTCTTAGCATATTTTATATTTTAAAAATATTAAACTGTAGGATTATTAGAAAATACATAAACATACTACCAGTTATTTTAGGATGGTAAAATTAAGTATTTCCCTTTCATTTCTCATTTTCTCCAAAAACTATCATATAATTCAGTTCAGTCACTCAGTCATGTCAGACTCTTTGCAACCCCATGAACAGCAGCATGCCAGGCCTCCCTGTCCGTCACCAACTCCCAGAGTCCACCCAAACTCATGTCCATTGAGTCGGTGATGCCATCCAACCATCTCATCCTCTGTCGTCCCCTTCTCCTCCTGGCCTCAAGTCTTTCCCAGCATCAGGGTCTTTTCCAGTGAATCAGCTCTTCGCATCAGGTAGCCAAAGTATTGGAGTTTCAGCTTCAACATCAGTCCTTCCAATGAATATTCAGGACAGATCTCCTTTAGGATGGACTGGTTGGATCTCCTTGCAGTCCAAGGGACTCTCAAGAGTCTTCTCCAACACCACAGTTCAAAAGTATCAATTCTTCAGTGCTCAGTTTTCTTTATAGTCCAACTCTCAAATCCATACATGACCACTGGAAAAACCATAGCCTTGACTAGATGGACCTTTCTTGGCAAAGTAATGTCTCTGCTTTTTAATATACTGTATAGGTTGGTCATAACTTTTCTTCCAAGGAGTAAGCGTCTTTTAATTTCATGGCTGCAATCACCATCTGCAGTGATTTTGGAGCCCCCAAAAATAAAGTCAGCCACTGTTTCCCCATCTATTTGCCATGAAGTGATGGGACTGGATGCCATGATCTTAGTTTTATGAATGTTGTGCTTTAAGCCAACGTTTTCCCTCTCCTCTTTCACTTTCATCAAGAGGCTCTTCAGTTCTTCATTTTCTGTCAAAAGGGTGGTGTCATCTGTGTATCTGAGGTTATTGATATTTCTCCCGGCAATCTTGATTCCAGCTTGTGCTTCTTCCAGCCCAGGGTTTCTCATGATGTACTCTGCATGTAAGTTAAATAAGCAGGGCGACAATATACAGCCTTGACGTACTCCTTTTCCTATTTGGAACCACTCTGTTGTTCCATGTCCAGTTCTAACTGTTGCTTCCTGACCTGCATACAGATTTCTCAAGAGGCAGGTCAGGTGGTCTGGTATGCCCATCTCTTTCAGAATTTTCTACAGTTTATTGTGATCGACACAGTCAAAGGCTTTGGCATAGTCAATAAAGCAGAAATAGATGATTTTCTGGAACTCTCTTGCTTTTTTAATGATCCAGTGGATGTTGGCAATTTGATCTCTGGTTCCTCTGCCTTTTCTAAAACCAGCTTGAACATCTGGAAGTTCACAGTTCATGTATTGCTGAAGCCTGACTTGGAGAATTTTGAGCACTACTTTAGTAGTGTGTGAGGTAAGTGCAAATGTGTGCTAGTTTGAGCGTTCTTTGGCATTGCTTTTCTTTGGCAGTGGAATGAAAACTGACCTTTTCCAGTCCTGTGGCCACTGCTGAGTTTTCCAAATGTGCTGGCATATTGAGTGCAGCACTTTCACAGCATCATCTTTCAGGGTTTGAAATAGCTCAACTGGAATTCCATCAGCTCCACTAGCTTTGTTCGTAGTGATGCTTCCTAAGGCCCACTTGACTTCACATTCCAGGATGTCTGGCTCTAGGTGAGTGATCACACCATTATGGCTATCTGGGTCATGAAGATCTTTTTTGTAGTTCTTCTATGTATTCTTGCCACCTCTTCTTAATAGCTTCTGCATCTGTCAGGTCCATACCGTTTCTGTCCTTTATTGAGCCCATCTTTGCGTGAAATGTTCCCTTGGTATCTCTAATTTTCTTGAGGAGATCTCCAGCCTTTCCCATTCTATTGTTTTTCTCTATTTCTTTGCATTGATCGCTGAGGAAGGCTTTCTTATCTCTCCTTGCTATTCTGTGGAACTCTGCATTCAAATGGGTATAACTTTCTTTTTCTGCTTTGCTTTTTGCTTCTCTTCTTTTCACAGTTATTTGTAGGGCCTCCTCAGACAGCCATTTTGCTTTTTTGGATTTCTTTTTCTTGGGGATGGTCTTGATCCCTGTCTCCTGTACAATGTCA